CAGCAGATAATATTTAATATTTCCTAAAATTATTTCACATTTCAACATTTTCTCTCATCTTTTTGATAAAAAAAAAAAAAACACTATTTTAAGGAACACATGCAGACATGGAAGATGTTCTGACAATATTTGCATATTTATTTTTAACATTAAGGTTCAAAGACACAAACACAAATGCTTGCATTAAAACAAATAAAATACACCTGACAAAGGAAACAAATAAATAAAATAAAGTGTCTTATGAACTTAACAAAAGTGCTGGCTGTTTAAAGCTAGTTCACATAGAATAATAAAATAAATAGATTTGAGGTCAATGTTGTGAGAGAAAAAAAATCCACACAAAAAAGAACTTCACACATGACCTCTATCTAACCACCTGGTTAGATAAAGGTCATGTGTGAAGTTCTTTTTTTAAATGACCTACTAATTGCATTTACTCCGATTAAACATTTCAACGCTACAGTTTAGTCTTATGAGTTTAGATAATGAAGCTCTTGATCCATTTTGTGCAGTGTTTTTTACATTTTTACTTCCTACCCTCCAATGTTTAGCTCTTCGTACAAAATGCATCAAGCCTTTTTCTTTTGTATGGTTTCATCTATAAAGTAAACACGGATGATGGCGTTGTTGCTTTATTTAAACCCTGCCCACCACTATGAAAGTACTTCTTTGTGACTGAAAACACTCCCTTATCTACCGTTCAGGTTAGAGACTCATCACTTAGTTTCACTGTCCCTCCACCCTAACCTAACCCAAACAGGCAGAGTCCTGCCTTTAATTAAGTCTCTTTTTTTTCAGTAAAAATGACTAAAAATGAGCTTATGTAAGCATTTGAGATCACTCGTGGTGACAGCCTTTCTTGGCTAACAAAGCCGTTTATGGAGCCTGAGTTTCTGTCCCATTCTACTAAGTTAAAATCAAAAAAATGTCACTGTTTTTTTTAGACTTTATTTGACAAAAGATAATGCAGTCTGCAATCTTGTCGCTGATGAAAGAAAGCATCCCCGCAGCATGATGGACTCACCACCATGTTTCACTGATAGTCTCTGGATTTTTTTTTTTTATCTTACCTGAATAAATTACCGTAAGAGGCTTGACCATATTTAAAAAATATATGTAAAATTGTGATTCTTACTAATTTTTAGGGATGCACGATATTGGGATTTTGGCCGATATCCGATATGCCGATATTTTAAAACTCATGTAGCCGATAACCGATATCGATACTGATTAAAAAAGCTGGAAAAAAATAAGTAGTCATTGAAAATAGCAGTTTTGTTATCCATTTCTGACACTTTGAAAAATAATATACTCAAATATATTTTCATATGCTGATATCAAATTGATTTTTAAAAACGCGGTATCGCTCTATTTTACTTTCAAAATCTCGTGAAATTTCATCGTTCTGTTACAAACTCGTGATATTTTGCAAATTCTTGTGAGATTTTGTTAGTAAAATAGATCGATACCGCGTCAGTATATCAACATATAAAAATATGGCAAATTTTCGGGGATTTCAGAGCATAACGATGACATATAGCAATATTTCATTAGTAAAAAAGATTGATATGGTGTTTTGAAATGGCAATATATCAGCATATGAAGATATTGTGATATTTTAATGTATCAATAGTTTTCCCTCGTCTTTAGAAGTTTTTAAGTCTGTAAAAAATAACTTTTTGAGGAAGAAGTAGTATTTTATTTTATTTTTTTAGACTTTAGAAACTCAGAAGCTGATCAAATATCGGGTTAAATATCGGTGGGGTGGCCGATGTCCGATATTCAGTTTTAAGGCCGATACAGGCCGATACCGATAGGGGGGCCGATTATATTGTGCATCCCTACTATTTTTAGTTTCTTTCAAACAGCAATTAGACACCACATTTATGTGTTCCTCAGCAGGATGCATTGAAGATTTTATTTGCAACATGACTAAATGCACTTGATCAGTGCTGAGACTCTCCTGTATGACGCCCCATTCTGGGCCTCAGGCGCTTCCGACAGCACAAAGGCCCCTCGCTACAATCTGGTCGCTCATTGTCTTTCTGCTCCAGTGGGCAACAAAGGTCTAAGCTAGTGTGCAAGGATATGTGAGCGTGATTCAGTTTGTGGAGTACAGTACAGCTGGGGGAGACGTGAAAGGCAGATTTAGCAACTGGGGTGAAAAGAAAACTGATCCTGTTCTCTTGACTCTGTTTTCCAACATCTGAATCTCTCCTCTCCACCTCCCTGATCCCCGTCATCTCTCTGCCCAGCGGACATTATATCAACGGTCGAGTTTAACCACACAGGAGAGCTGCTCGCCACTGGAGACAAGGGTGGGCGTGTCGTCATCTTCCAGCAGGAAATAGAAGTAAAGCCTTATTTGTTTTCCCTTTTATTGACACTGTATATCAAGTGTATTGTACGATTTTTCTTTTTTGAGATGGTTACAAATATTTCAGTGTTTTTGGAGGAAATAAACTTTATCAAACAGGAAACTGGTAAACAAATGTCTGCATTTCTCCTCTTAGAACAAGAGTCTGCCCCAGTTCAGAAGCGAATACAACGTTTACAGCACCTTCCAGAGCCACGAACCCGAGTTTGACTACTTAAAGAGTTTAGAAATAGAGGAGAAAATCAACAAGATCCGCTGGCTTCCTCAAAAGAACGCTGCTCAGTTCCTCTTGTCCACGAATGGTAAATCTCCAGCTTTTATTGGCTTCAAATACCCCCTTTTCAGAAGTTTTTATTCATTTTTTATCGCATTCCTTAGACCTGAATAGAAATGTTTGCTTGATAAAATGTCAAAACTGTTTTCACTAAGTCTTTTATAGAAAATGTCATAGCAAAGGTCCTTGGGTTGAATTTAATACAAACACTTATCTTTGAAAAATTATTAAATCTACAAAATAAAATGACTGCGGCAAAAAAACATGTTTAGATCAGGGTACCAGACATTTGTCTTGCTTTGACTGTACTGGCTTGAACCCTTTTATATATTTACCTTCATGACAAAATTAAAACTTTTTTTTATCTTTTGGAAAATTGTTTTGAATAAGCTAAAAATTGAGGGTGTCGATTTAAGTTGAGTTTTATTCCCACAGCTTGTTACAGTATTTTTTTTATATATATATATATATATATATATATATATATATATATCTCTGCTTTAGCAGCAAACATTTATTTCTTATAAATACCTAGCTCAGGTTAAAAGTCCAGTAAATGTGATGTAGTTAATTGTTTGGAGCTAGCTGAAGCCAGCTAATGTGGCTAAGCTAAAGCTTGGGACATGTTTAACATCTTGCAATAATGCTACTATATTAATGATGAGAGTTTTCAGCATTTTGAAATGTGACATCTACAAAGGAATGGGATCCCTACAGCATCATGCTGCCATCACCACAGTTCCACACTGTTATTTTGTTTAAAACTGGATTATTCCTTAAGTCAGTTGGTTGCAATGGATTTTATCTTGTGATCCTTCAATTTAGCTATGCACAGCTTTGCATTAGTGTGACATAAAATACATCTGTGGTTGTAACATGACTGAATGTGGAAGAGAATGACGTTTTTTCATCAATCTGATGTGCTCTCTTTGTTTGAACAGATAAAACAATTAAATTGTGGAAAATAAGCGAACGGGACAAGCGACCAGATGGCTACAATCTCAAAGAGGAGGATGGCCGATACAGAGATCCTAACACTATCACAGCACTGCGGGTCAGTCAGAACCACAAACTCTGCTTCTATAAGTAAATCTTGACTAGAGACTGACGGATTGATCGATCGGCCGATTATTTTGGCCTATTTAAGCATTGTTTTTCTTGGTATCAGCTGATCCTGGTATACATTCGCTGATTCATTAGTGCTTTCAGCGGACATACTTTGAGATCCATTGCTGGTGAAGACTCTCAGTTATCCTGGTCATAGTCATTCCAAAAAAAGTTAAACAATCCACTGGACTTTGTTTCCAAGTTAGAAGATGTTTTGCTTCCCAATTCTGACATTTTTAATTTAAAAAGCCTCCTGGATGGGAAGCAAAACGTCTTTAATCTTGGAAACAAACTCCTTGAGATGCATTAACATTTTCTTTAACTTGTTGATAAATATTATTTTTTTGTTTAAATCGATACTTCTGCAAAGTTTTTTATCGTGTTATTTTCTTTATGTAAATGGGGAAGACATAGCAATATCAGCCAATATTTGTCCAGAAAATAAGCAGCACATGTCCAGGTCAAAATAATCTATCTGCATTGGCCTTAAAACGTAGCGACAGATAATTTTGATCTAAATAAAAAAAACTATTTCAAAAGCGATTTCTGGGTGCAGGTACCCGTTTTAATACCTATGGACCTGATGGTGGAAGCCAGTCCTCGGAGGGTCTTCGCCAACGCTCACACCTACCACATCAACTCCGTCTCGGTCAACAGCGACAACGAGACCTACCTGTCTGCGGACGATCTCCGCATCAACCTCTGGAACCTGGAGATCACCGACCGTAGCTTCAGTATCCTTAACAACCAACCTACTCCACTTTTCCACCTTCTTTCTTTACTGTAAAAATGTCGATGTGCAGCGGTGCAACGGTTGCCCCTCCTTGACCGCATGTTCCTCAGACATTGTGGACATTAAACCAGCCAACATGGAGGAGCTGACTGAGGTGATCACAGCAGCAGAGTTTCATCCTCACCAGTGCAACACCTTTGTCTACAGCAGCAGCAAAGGAACCATTCGTCTGTGTGACATGAGAATTTCAGCGCTTTGTGACAAGCACTCAAAGTGTGAGTTTATCTCTGTTCTCCTCAGGAGATACTTTGCTGTCGGATCATCTGCTTCTAGAGCCTTAAGGGTTTCTGAAATGTTGAGGAAAGTATCACACTAAAAAAAACCTTTAAAATCTTCAACCTCTTGCAGAAAAAGGTAATAGATAAAATAAAAAAGGGTAAAATTCGGATAAACTTCCACCACGCTGCTGTTAAGGTTGATTTTTACTCAGAAACCAGATGCGTAACTATGCACCTGCGTATTTCCTGTTTGGTACCTTACCTTACCGCCATTGTGGAAAACGACTCATGAAGATGAACAAGCTAGAAGAGTAAGGAGCAGGAGAACGCTAGGATCCTTTTTCCACCTTGATCCCCGCTCTTTTTCGCCCTCATGTCCCTCAGTTGTCACACAAACTTGCGCCCACTTCCTCACTGCTTCGGCTGTATCTAGACCCACAGCTAGTTCGTGACTATCCCTCTTGCGTTGTAGCGTGGAATAACAGTGCAGACCACGCTTCAATATTGGGCAAAAATCAAGAATATCTGCGACAAGCTCACTGCGACACACTGCTGCGGGAGGATAACCTGCCCTTTAGAGCGTCTTTAGTACCGGTTCTCTGGAAGTTCCCACCTTGATTCTGAAAATCTGGTTCTGTCCCAGTTTGCCAATGCATCAAAGTAATGAACCTCCTTCTGTCAGAAGCTAGAGAAAGACTCATGAGAATCCTGCCACCAATGAAGTAATTTTTTTCTTGTAAAATTTAAGTTATCATCAATGAGGTTTTACTTTAAAAAACCTCATTGATGATAAAGCTGATGATCAATCAGAATGATCAGGCTGCCTCTGAGCTTCATGAACTATGTTTTGAACCTTTAAATTTGACCCTTAAATTGGGTCAAAAGCTATTTTTTTTCATCTGAATCCATAAATACTTTTAATTCGGTTCTAACAGAGTTAACCTTTGAGAATCCCCAGGTGGTTTTGAAATATCTGCTCTAAAGATAGTTTTCCTCAAACTCTGCAGTGCTGTTACAGACGGATCAACTGATCAGGTTTGCGACTCTTTAACAAAACATAATTTAAGCTGCTTGTATTAAGGTTTCTGGTTGCAGGAATGTTTGGATAAATTAGGTTTTTTTATTTATTTTGAAACTCAGATGAAATCTCCCAGTAACACAGGAAGAGGTTCATTTTTGAAGGGATGAGACGGTTTTAAAAATTAAACCAGTCAAGAACTGAAGCCACTCTGGAGGAACAGCTGTATGTCTGTCATTTTCCAGCTGTTTATTTTGACGTCATCGGTCTCAGAGTTCAAGTCGGAACGTTTTCCACAGAAAATCCCAAAACGCTGGTTCAGACACTGTTGTTCTTTGAATGTCACTTGAGGTTATAAGGCTGAGAGTCACTGCCCTGCTAAGCTAAATAGAAACTAGGGCTGAAGCGATATGGCTTAAAAATGTAATCTAAAGTTTTTTTCAAACCTTATCCAATTAAGGAATTTTTTTTTTTCTTACTTAAAGGTATAGTGGAGGATGTTCTTTTTTTGCAGTGGATCATCAAAATAAGTTGTCCTCCTAATTTTCAATCATTTTGGTGATATGTTTATGTAAAGCCGTCCTACGTGCTTGTCCCCATTTTCACTTACCGGTGGTGAGTGTGACATGGTGGAAAAAATTGGAAATCTTCTTTTGGAAAGGAAGCTTGTATGAGCAATGCAAACAACTTTTAAACCGAGCGTGCACAGGGAGAAATGGGCTCGTGCACGCTCTCGCACACGTTTAATAGGCATTCTCTCTTGGTAGTGGGTACAGGGTTGTGCATGTGCATTTTTTTGAAGTGGAGAGCAGTTCTCAAAAATTCACCAAAATCCTCCACTATGCTTTTAAGTTTCATATTAGAAAATAGCAATTAAATATATTCCTTTAAAAAACTTTTCCTTTTTAACTGAATCAGCCCCTCTGGGAGGTGATAATTAATTAATTTTAAAGGGCAACAAAGTTCAAGCGGTGAAAATTGATATGAAACTGATCATATTTCACAACAATGAAAATATAACAAAGTAAATATTTGCAGCAACTGGTATCACACAGTGAGCTAGGTTATGGTTTAACATGTATGACCTAAAGGTGATGGCCTGATGGGACTGAGCTACAGGAGCTCAAGGAGTTGATTGTTGGAAATTAAATCATCAAAAGAAAATGATTATAATTGATTTTAGTTATGTTAATTTTTTTTCCGCTTGGTAATTGTTTGATGCTGGGACATCAGTTACTGCTTTTCTTTATCTGATGAAGAAGCCTCTGATCTCTATAGGTCTGTCTTTCTCTCTTCCAGTGTTTGAAGAGCCTGAAAACCCCAGCAACCGCTCCTTCTTCTCAGAGATCATATCCTCCATATCGGATGTCAAGTTTAGCCACAACGGACGTTACATGATGACTAGAGACTACTTATCCGTAAAGATATGGGACTTGAACATGGAAAACAGGCCAGTGGAGACGTACCAGGTAAGAAGGAGCAGTAATACTGAAGTGTTGCTTCGAGGTTTTTAGTTGGCTGTAAACGTAGAGATTTTAAAACCCATCCAGCCCCAGTGAGTAGGGTTGGCCATTTAGAGTTTATAATCTTGTTTTACTGTAGCGGACAAAGATCAGATTTCAGACTCTTACAATTTGGTTAGGGCTTTTTATCATATTAAAACCAAGCTACAAAGGATTCAAATAACTTTTTAAATTTAAAGATAAAGTATATTTAATATTTTTAATAGTTTATCAGAGAATCTGAGGTATTCTAGAATTTGTGAGGCAGAATTCTCCACAACAGATGCTACACGATGACCAGAGACTACTTATCCTTAAGGATTTGATGAACTATTAAATCTCTGATTTATTTTTTTTTCTGAGCATGAGCCATAGAGGTTTTTAATTATTAATTAGTAAATATTATCAAGTACAAAGGAGATAAGTCTAATAATATGAGCCCTGCCTTCAATGAAATGACAAGAATTTCTTTCTTTTTTTTTTTTTAAAGCCACTGAACTTTCTGTAATGGCCACTAGGGGTCGGGCTAAACACTTTGTTTAATAGTTGGATTTATAAAGAACTTTTTCAGTAAAGATGTTAAAAATCAGATTAGATCCAGAGTTTTAGGATTGTTTCTTCTGCTTCTTCACTATTCTGCCCCATTCAATCATTTCAGGTTCATGAGTACCTGAGGAGCAAGCTGTGCTCGCTCTACGAGAATGACTGCATCTTTGACAAGTTTGAGTGCTGCTGGAATGGAGATGACAGGTACAAGCATGATGCTAATAATTTCTAAGAATTGCTTCATAAATCATTTTCCAGAAGTTTGGGCGTAGATTCTTCTGAAACCTTTTGTTTTCTATCATGTCATGCACATGAAATGTTGGGATGTTCCTTATGGTGTTTGTATAGTTCAGGGTGTGGAAATGCCTAGAAGTACTCCTGTTTAAACAGGATAAATGAGACCCGGAGTCAAATCGGCTTTGCAACTGGATTCCTGAACAGCAGCCCGTTTAAAGGAAGTCAAACCACTTCAATCAAAAAAGGCATTTTTATTCCAAATATTCAGATGTTCTGCACTCTCAATGGACAAAAATGCATACAAAGTTTACTGTTGAAGAACTGCACCAAACAAGGCTTTTCAGGCACAGATGTTATCAGTTTTTCAGCTAATTTTGATCTGTTAGTTTCATAGACTTGTCTTATTCTTTAAGAAACATAAGCAAAAATAGGTTGCAGGAATGTTATACTCAGTAAAAAAAAATGATAGGGTTTTATTGATATTTCAAAATAGAATCAAATGTTGAATTAAGAATTTTGCTTATGTAAGAATTAGCAAGGTTAGTATCACAAAAACCAAGCTTCCCTCTGCTTTAAATTCTTACTAAAATGTAAAACTAAAATCCCTTTTTTGTCTTTTTGTCTACCTGTTATCTGTATTTATTTAAAAGGACAAAATGCACATCAGCTTGAGATATTGATGTTTATAGAACATCAGTATCTCATACTGATACATTCAGCTTTTCTATCTATTGTTCTTAATCCACAATATAGGAGTTAGGATAGTTATTTTTTAGATGTGATCATTTGCCAGGATAAATGGCAGTTTTAGATTTTTCTATTGCTCACTTTAATGCAATCTGTAATGTCTCCCGGTGTAGAAAACTTTTTTCTTTTAAATCTTTTACTGCAGCTGTGCTTTTCTGAAAATGTATTTTTTTGTACTTCTCAGCAGTACTTGTAACTTCTAAGCCATCTTTCTACTTTCTTTTTTTTCTCGCCCCAATACCATTAATTAGATCCAGCGTATGATTCAGACTAGCCGGTTTCCAATCCTGGCCAATCATGAAGTCTGAAATCTGCCATTCCCTAATTTGCACGTTCATGCTTGTCTTCAAGCACTGTTTAATCCTACAACACCACCATAAACTCCTGCTGTTGTCACTTCAGACTGTTTAATCCTCTCTGACTGATATAAACCAAATAAAAGCTCTCAGTTAGTGACATATTCAACTTGGGATTTACTGCAATAGATGCCCAAACCTACAGATTTCAGTGCCCAAGATGTTAAAGATTTTGACAAGTATTTAAAGTGCTACAGGAAAAACAGAAAATTAAGATACACACCAGATATCTAAATGTTAACCAATGATTCAACAACTTCATTTCTAATTTAAAGCACTCTCCTTAAAAGGGAAAAAAAGGCCTTATTTAGTAATAAATGAGCCCACTTGGTCAGGTTTAAAAAAAAGGGGAAAAAAAGATGAGTATTTAAAAGAAGCGCTGCATAACCAGTGTGGAATATGTAACGTTTTTGTCCTTTGTTACAGTGCACTCATTTTTGGATGAGGGTTGAATGGTTTTTATTTTAATAAATATTAAAGTCCATCATCACAGGACTTTACTGACTCTGTCTGAAAAAGCTGCTTCGTTCTAATCACTTGCATAGATCTGAGTGCTAGCTGCAACTCTCTTCCCTTCAGACCCAATTTAAGGGAATGTGGAAGTAAGTGTATTACTCATGTTAAATGTTGTTACTAAAACTGAGCACCCCTGCCATTTGAAAATGTGGTTTTGTTAAACCTCAATTATATTATGAAATTTCATTGTCCAATTTTCAACATTATAGGGCATTATAAATAATAATCTTGTGACTCTACTGTCAGAAAACTGATGGGTCTTGTGGAAAAATACTGACTCAGAATACCCAGAAAAATGCTCCAGCTGATACAAAATCAACCTTCTTTCATGGCGAGCTCACCCCCCAGAACTAAATCTTACAGAAAACAAAGTGAACCAAGTGATGTCATGGTAGCTGAAGGTGTTGCCAATAATTACGGTATTAAATAGGCCTTAAAAGTGGGAGTGCTTTCCTGCTAAATAATCATACTCTAACAAAAGGCTTGGTTTTCTACTGCAATGAAAGATGCATTTGTTTTAAGGTGTTTGCACCCATCTTAACCCATGGTGCCGTTAGCTGTGGGTGGTGCTGTAGATATGGGAGCAGTTTTTAAAGCCGATTTTCTTTCTCCTCCTCCTCTGACAGTGTGGTGATGACTGGTTCCTATAACAACTTCTTCCGGATGTTCGACCGTGGCCATCGACGGGACACGACGCTGGAGGCGTCCCGGGAAAACGGCAAGCCCCTGCAGGTCCTCAGGCCTCGTAAGGTGTGCACCGGCGGCAAGCGCAAGAAGGACGAAATCAGCGTGGACAGTTTGGACTTCAACAAGAAAATCTTACACACTGCCTGGCATCCACAGGACAACATCATCGCCGTGGCAACTACGAACAACCTCTACATATTCCAGGACAAAGTGAACTAACAGGATGGGACCGACATGAGAGCTTGGTTTTAATAACCTGCGGGTTGATTTAAGAGGATACGTGGTATTGCTGACTATTCACTTTGCTCTAGATCTGGACGGGTGACTGTCTCCCATCATCCGCCTGTCTGCTGCAGAAACGTCTGCCTTGTTGTTAGTCATGTGCCAATGTTTTTTTTCCTTTCGTCCTGTCTCTGCCTGCTGACCAACCCTCTACTTTTCAGAAGGGGGTAACTCTGTAACTTTAAAACTTTGCCTACAAACTTATTTTTATAAACTGTCCCCTTGACTGGTTCTCTGCTAGAATAAATGATTTAGTAAGTTACACTATCTGCGCTGTGGTGTTCAGATTTCTAAAAGAATACATATTTTTTTGTTATTTTCAGTTTTCTCCTTTTATTACCATCAATAATGGACCTCTAGGCACTCAGTTTCTTTATACAGCCAAACGGTTGCTCACAGCATTTTAAATTTTGTGCAACCTCAGATGTCACCCATGTCTGTTTTTTAGGGTCAGAACCATCTCAAAACTCGAAAAGACATTTCTTATTTACCCTTTAATATGAACCCCTCTGTGCGATTGTTCTTTGTTTTTGTGCAGCGACAGTCAGGAAATGGAGGCTATAAAAAGATATTATCATTCATATTATGATTGTAATATTTATATTAAAAAAAGTTTAAAATGTGTCCAGGTTTGTTCCGTCCCACTCTGTAAAACGATGCTGGACCTACAGCTTATTTTGAGCGATCTTAGGTTTCATGTCGCTGGTGTTTAACATCAAGGATTTGACACTGGACCCTTTGAGCACAGAACAAGTACTTTGGACATCTGTGATGTATAAATGCAATTTAAAAAGATGTACATTATTTGAGGCACTGAATAACTTATTTTAACCACTGCAAACAATACCTGCAACAAGGACATTTAGGACAGGAATGCCTCTAGTAATGAGTTATTAAATTTTACCCTGATGGTGACGGGCAAAGGAAAAATAAAGGAATTATTTTGCATCGTTTTGGTTGAGTGACTGTTGTTCTGCATTCATTTCACTGTGTGGTGCTTGATTTGTTTTTGTTTGTACAGTTTATTAAAAAATGTATTAAAAGAAATAAGCAATCCAGCTAAAAAGGTGAAAGTTGACTTTATTACATGCTTTGATGTTAAAATATATTTTTAGCTTTGATTATTGGTGCTTACAGCTTCACCAAAATTCAGTTTCACTGGAGATCATAACATGCCAGTTATACCAGTGGTTTTTATTTGCCATCAGGTAAAGAAGCGCCACCATAATGTCATTAAAGAAGCTGATTAAGAAAAGAGGTGTACCCAAGCATATTAATAAAAAGTTTTGTGGAAGGAAAACAGTAGTAGATAAAGGCACTGCATACTTAGAAATATATTAACCTGTTGTGATACTGGGGTTGGTAAAGATTAATTTATTAGTGGCCTTTAGCTAGGCTGTGCCGCTGGCACTGGTGTTTCAGATATCCATGTTGTGTATTATCTTTGTGTACATTTTTTCCTTCCACTTCACTTTCCATTAACTTGCTTGGCTATGAATCTGAACAGTCATTTTAACAATTACCTTTGTGGCTTTTAAATTAGAGTATATGTCAGCATTAAAGATCCTATTTTTATTGTAAGGAAAATTCTGTCAGGGACTAGATATGTTTTCCCACAGGTTATTGGACATACTAGTCAGCTAGAAACAAGTTTCTAAAATACACATTTTATTTTAAATTACCTGTAAATAAACACTTTTAAATGTTTCACATTTTAAAGTCTTTATGTACACAATATACACCTTACTAAGAACAACTTTTTAGGTTTTAATATAGTAGTCCAATGTAACAGGATTCCTCAAAGTCATCATGGAAAGTTGTTGGACTGGAAGCAGTGGAGGATTAAAGCTACTCCAGTGGGGCTCGGTTAAAGAAATTTGTGAGTAAGCACTCACAAGATTAGAGTCCTGACTGTGTACGTGGGGGCATGCATGTCTCCACCTCCTTAAGCAAGCTTTGATGTCATGTTTATATTTTTCAAGCTAATAGGTAGCTGTGTATGGAAAGACATTATAACATTAATCAACAACGCATAATTTATAGATATATATACATATAAAGATTATTTGGTAAAGGAGATGAAGTGAAACTACTGTATGGCAAGTAAACTTGTCATATAAAAGTAATTATAGAATTGATAGAAATGTAGATAATCTAAGAATGCTAGTAATCCAGAACATTGTGCCCCAGATATGAAACATCTTTGAAGATCATTTTTGATGTGTTGCTTGCAATCTTTATTCAACTTATTTGCATTAAAAAGCTATATTAGACATGTCTTGAATTGTGTCAAACCTCTGAGTTTTTAAGATCTTACTTGGCCAAAGGTTTGTTTTAGGAGTTATATGTTTGATAACATACATGAGGTGATCCTTAAAATTTGGGTTTTGTTAAACCTCAATTATATTACAAATTGGCATTGCCCGATTTTCAACATTATAGGACATTTTAAATAATAATCTTGTGACCCTACTGTCAGAAAACTGATGGGTGTTGTGGTAGTTTACTGACTCATTTGGTCAAATAAACCCAGCAAAATGCTTCAGCAGATACAAAATCAACATTCTTTCATGTTAACCAAGGGATTTCATGTTGGCTGAAGGTGTTGCCAATAATTACGATATTAAATAGGCCTTAAAGGTGGGTGTGCTTTCCTACTAAATAATCATACTCTAACAAATGGTTGATTTTCTACGGAGCCCCTAAAGGGACATGGAGGGAAAAAATAAACTTTTGCGAGATCTCGCAAAAAATAAACTTTTGCGAGATCCTGCAATACTTTTGCGAGTTCTCGCAAAACTATTGCGGAATCTTGCAAAGGTTCTTTTTTCCCCCTCCACTTCCTTTTAGGGGCTCCGTAATTTTGTACTGCGGTGAAAGATGCATTTGTTTTAGGTGTTTGTATGTATGTACCAAGGCTCCACCCTTAGACTCTTTGATTCAGTAACTATTATGTCATATCACAGAATTACCATAGATATGCTGATTACTCTCAACTTTGTACTACTTTAATCCCCACATGACCACAAACATTGAGTGTGTATTTGAAAAATATCCATGAGTTCATGGTTCAGATTTTCTTTGTTTGAAACCAATGTCATTGTCTTTCTGTTTGCTAAAACATATTCAAAGTCTTCACTCAACACTATTTTGCCGAAATCCACACAACATGCAAGAAAAGCATTCTGTTATAATGGACATAAACACTATTAATGAGTCAGTATAGCACTTTTTAACAGTTGCAGAATATACCATTTTACTGTATCATAGGTCTAGTGGGATTGATTCTTTTTGGTTTTAAACAGGTGATATATTTGTTATTGATATTGGCAACTGAAAAAATTAAGAGCAAAACCCTTTTAAATGTGCTGCTTCTACAACTAACTTTTTACTTTAGTCTGGCTATTTCATAGATAGAGCCAAAGTTGGGTAGAGATCACAGATATATTACTCAATTAGGAGTAAAAAATACTTGTTAAAATCACTACTCAAATACCGAGTCAATGATATGGAGTTAGGTGCAAATTCTGCTATCTCAAGTATTAAAGAAAATAAAAATAAATAACATGATAAAAAAATATATTCTGGCAGAGCAATATTTTTCCAATTCTATTTTTTTATGTATTTTCCTCAAGTAAGAGTAGAGTTACTCTGACAAAGGTTTAACTTAAATAAAAGTACAAAGTACAGTAAAGTACAACAGCTCCAAAAAGTTTTTTTTTCTTTTTTTTTTAATAAAATCTACTCAAATAAATGTAACTGAGTAATTATAATTAGTTCGTACTCTCTTCTGTTTATAGCTATAAAATGGTAAGTCGGCTAACCATTCCCTTGTTTTCATAATATCCTTAACAAGTTTTTTGTAACTCGTTACGTAATCTGACTCCGTACCCACCCCAGTTGAATCAAACATACGGTGTTACGTCTCCCAAAAGCCCCGCCTCTGAAGAAGTTTGATTGGCTGTCGTCTGCTGCTGACTGTAGGCCAGCTAACCCTACGAAAACAAACGGGTTGAGCGGCGCCTTGGGTTGGCGTGTCAGTTTTTCATCCTGTCGTCCTGGGCTGAAAACACCTCGGCTTGGTTATATTAAAGTTCATCTGAATGTGTAGAGAGAGGGATAGCTTCTGCTGCTAAAGCAACCTCCCCCCTTACTGGGAACCACAATGTCCGAAGCGGCTAACGTTACCTCAACAGACAATAACGGAGAGTCGGGGCTTAACGGTAAGCTAACTGCTGCTAACCAGATGCCCTGAATTACCCCTTCGGATTTTATGTTATTTCCTCTTTCAACGTGAATAAGTATGTATCTATTTATAAAAAAATCTAAATTAGTCGGGCTGCATCAACAGTGCTTTATTTGCACATTTTTCAAGCGAAGCTTCACCGAAAGGGGAGGAGCTTGAACATTATGTCCAGTTTGTTTATTGACAGCGGATGGACCAATGGTGTTTCAGTTTATATATGAGTGACGGGAAAAATAGCCAATCGGTGGGGTTGTCTCTAAAGGCGGAGGCAGGCTAGACTCTAGTCAACAAGCCTGGAGAATGTCCAGTTCTGTCGAGGCTTTTAATAGTTGATTTATCGAGATATAACAATGGTTTATATATATATATATATATATATATATATATATATATATATATATATATATATACATAATGTCATGTTTACATGGCAGTAAACAATGGCATGTTTACTGGCTGCTCTGACTCGTAGTGGGGCCCACCCTATATAGGGACATGGCACAGCGACATGGGACAATTTTTATATTATGCAAAATATTGAGGAAGTATAATGGGTCTTGTGGTTTTTTGTCAATAGGGATAGGGTAATCCAGAGCTAATAAACATATCTGAATGCAATCAAGAATTTTTCATATTCTTGAACCTTGGAACCTTTTTTGTGATATTATGATAAAATTGAATGTGTTTTATTTGGAGTTTATGTTACCAGAACATAGTAGGACATCATTGCAAAAAGGAAGGAAGAGATAAATGGATTGCAAAATATGCAGACATCACAAGCTTGAAGACACTGAAGTATGCATGTGGGGCCCTTTGGCAATTAAAACACACCAAAACCAATACCTAAAACACCAGACGTGCACAGACAAATAGACTTAGACAGATTTTATTATGTTCACACAAATGTAAACAAAAGAAATTGCGTTAGGTACAGCTCTCTAGACTATTTTATTTTTAAGTGCAGCCTTGATAAAGGTAAGCACCAGTGATGAAAACATTGAGATGAAAAAAAGTGATGTAAACATATGAGTTACAGTTCCAACATTCAGTTTGTTTTTTTTTTTTGATTACATGATTACTGGTGTGCTTTCTCTCAAACACCTTCTTTTACAATTCACAAAGGTGGCAAATAGACACAAGCGGCCTAGACATTGTTTAAGAAATAACACGACTCTTTGTACACAAGTATACATGAAATCAGACTTGAAAGTTTTCCACTCCAAGACCATTATCAGTATCAGTTTGGACGCAACTCTTGACACAAAAATCTATCTTTGTACATATACCTAAGTGTCAGTCAATTAGTTCTGAAGTTACTCATTTTGAAATAGAATACATCTTTGTGCAATGTTACCCTGAATAG